AGCTAAATGGACACTTTATTGCATATAAGAGTTCATTCTGCCACTGCAGAATTCTTGGGTCTGGTTTAAATAAAATCCCCCACACACACACACTTTCTAAAGATACATGATGAATTACTCCAGTAACTTATTTCCCCTTTCATAAATGAGAGAGTCCCATCAAAACCCAGGGCAAAGGGGATACTTTGTGCCACACCTTCTTTTCACAGGGAAGACTGTAACATTCCTTCTAAACAGTGATATCTCACAGACTGTAATAAGGAGTACAATAACTCATCAATAAACCTCAATGCACAGTTACCAGTACTCTAACCCATATGAACTAGTAACAATCTTCTCAAATACATAATGAAAACTGAAAACCTTTGAGAGGCTGCACTGCACAATGTCTTCTCTTTAAAAATATGCATTTGTGTAGACACAACCTACACTTGTTTCTCAGCTATTGTAGGTAAAGAGAAACTACAGGCCCAAAAGTAAACTTTCCTTCAAAAGTTCACAGAAAGAAAAAACCCAGGATTTTAAAAAATCTACATAGTTTATAAAGTTACTCACTATGAAAGGTGCCATGTGTATTCACAATACCCTTCTCTTCATTATGCAGAACAATTCAAAACTCAATCTTGTGTATGCTATTAAAATCCAGTCTATACTTCTTTTTTTTCCCTATCCAATTCTTCTCCCTTTGAATAGAGAGAACACAACAGAGAATTGGTACTTGCTGGAATCATTTTCTGACTGAAATTATTTGCACATTTCTGGATAATTGAGCACTAGAATCACGGTTTTGATATACAAAAACAGGTGCAAAAATGGTTAAGTCTAGGCTGTAACTTCACCTATTATTTCCTGCACATAAAAAGGCATGCAACAATTAAAAGGAAGTAATAGAAATTAAGCTTTGAATATTAAAAACAAAAGGGCCAACTGGTTTTCCTTCAGGCATTTAAGTTCAAGGTAGTGGAAGGAATTAACTAGGGGAAGACTGAAACATAAAAGTTAATCACATGCTAAGCAGAAAAAAAAATGCTTGATTGAATTTGTCACTCATCCTGTTCCTTTCTATCCTGTTTAGTACATGTGCAAAAAAAAAAACAGGCTTAAAGACCAATGCTACATTCAATACACCGTCGTTCATTCAGCTTTTGTTGTAAAAATGCTGGTTTGTTCCCTTTTACTCTCCATTCTTCAGGGGTCAGTGAATATGCTCAGAAGTCATAGCAATAGTGATTACAGTTGCAACTGGTAAGTCAAAATGATCTTTAAAACAAAAAAATAAAGCATATGCAAAACTTACACTGTATGTGCTCTAACTTACAGAAACATATTTCTGGTGCTATACTATTCTGGCAACTGCAAAACAGTCACATGTCTCTATTTATGTGCATCATATAGAATCAAAAATTGCAAAGCATCATGGCACAGAGTGGGTTACACTAGAACTGATCTCATTCAAGTAGCTTTCCTTGTTTTACCAATGCAGGGGTAAGAAGGAAAAGGGAAGTAAGTTATTCTTATATCATTATTAAAAGAAATGGCACCTTCAGATCACACATTTTCCCTATGGAGAAAACATGATTAAAAAACCCAACCAAATACACGTGACCCAAACACTGTATTTTCAAAGCACAACAGAATGACAGCCACAGTCTGATGTGCATTTCATTTACTTTGACAAGAGCTGGAAAATCTCAACCTGTTCAGTTAAGTCAGTTTCTCCCCGTAATATTCACCATCCTTCAGCAAACTGTTACACAGTTTAAAGGAGGCACTAATCACTGACCACTCTAAGTGAATCAAGATCTTCCCCCGAGTTTTGGATTCAGCTCCTTACTCAGCTGCTGCATTGTCAACAGCTGCCAAGAATTACTGGGAACATTTGGCTAACTGGATAATAAGGACAGTCAGTGGTTGGTCCAAATTCTACTTCACAGATCTGCTTAAAAAAAATAAATATTATAAATCTCATTACATCCTCCTTTTCTTTTCTTCTAAAGGCATAACAACCCTACAAAGATTGGGTTTGCAATTTTATTCTGCCATTATGTGCAAACAGTGTAACTGGTTAACTCTCAGATGTTGCATGGGCTAGTGTAACCAAAGCCCCAGTAGCCCATAATTTAATAATGCCTGTTTGCAACACTGATTCATCCTCACTATATGACATCTTGGCCACCATGGCAAAGGTTGGCTACTCTGAATGTATTTTTCTGCTTGCTAGAAATTCATACGCATAGATCACAGTAACAAACCCCTCAAACTCTGCTCCCATCTATCTTGCTGAAGAGAAAATATTCGTGAGACTAAGCTTTCTCCAAACCACAGTTTTATTATGAGGTAAAGGCAAATTATATTATTACAGCCCCACGCAGCCAAACGCCACTCGCTGTGACTTTGTCACATTACTCGCTTTATGCCCAGGCAGCTAGCAAATTCTCTCCAGAAATCCACATAGAAACCCTGTCCTAGTGAAGCAACATACTCAAAAGTGGGTTTGTGCGTGGTCTCCAGTGCTCCAACTTCCAGGGGCATCTTAGCCACAGGAAGCTGTGAGGAGAGGGCACATTTACTAGGTGGTCCTTGTCCTTTTCTTTTCAACAGGTAACAAAGAATCTAAGGAGAACATCTCAGATTACAGTCCCCAGAGTACTGCTCAAAGCAAGAACACGTCTGATATAAAGCAATTACCCTATTATTGCCAGGCATTAACAAAATCCCCAAGTATTTAGGTAAATTCTGCATACAAGTTACATAGTCAGAGCATTCAGTTATAGCTGTCCTTGAAAAACATTGGATTATCCACAGCTTTTCCTTCCAAAAACAAACATTTAAAGTGCTGGCTTTTTTCTCCTCTTTGATCAAAACAGTACTGTAACTTTTGAGGTAGCAGAGGATTAGTCCAATGTAATATCATGGCTAAAGCTAAAACCAAACAAAAAAAGCTAAACCAATTTTGGTTTTTTTTAATCTTTGCTGAGACTATTCTCAGACACCTCATGAATTCTAACAAGCATCATGTTAGCAGCAACATCTGGTAGCTTAGTGTTACGGTAACCCACACATTTGCCATGAGCTACCAGATGTTGCTGAAGGGCTTTTTAATTTAGAGGGGCTGGTTCCATAAAATTATCTAATGTAGTTCAGTAATTCACATTGGCATTATGTTGTACTTAATTGGGATAACAAGAAAAACAGAGCAAAATTAGAATTCACATATCATCACTGTTAGAGTGAGGGCCATCACTTGTACATCGTTCTGCAGAGAAAGCAATCTAAGTGAAGGTCAAGCCAGCAGGATAAATGTGGCTACTTTCTGGATTTCAATCATGCTAGTCATAAGTAAATCACCTTTTGAAAGGTAGTTAATCCTTGCAGTAGAGACTAGAATTTAATAGCAGGCAATTGTGGCAGGTAAAAATTATAAATAACTTTTAGATTTCTTCCAGTCTTTTATACCCATACACTGCAACAGTGATTTCTAAGATAATTTGTATTCTGACAACACAGAGTAAGATATAATGTTGGGGGAACAGGGGAAAGAAAAGAAAACATACTTTTTTTTTAACATACATTTTCAAAGTAATGTGTTTTATAACTTTAAAAACCCACAAGAAAAAAAACTGCTGATGGGTAGCCTTTTCAAAAATAAGCTCTTTTTTAGAAGAGCTGGTGGAAGAAAAGAAACCCTAAATAGAATAGATAATTTAGTACTTTAAGACTCAGAAATTTCCCTCTGATCCACACAGACACTGACTCCATAACTTAAGGCTTGCTAAGGAGAGCAATGTAATGACCAACTTTGGTGCTTTGGGAATCACTGACAACAAATGCCCAATTACAAGCCTGAAAATATTCTGCCATTATACTCCTTAAAGATTACACAATAAAAAAGGAAAACAAAGCAGAAAATTGTTCTGCTAGGACACTTCACAATTGCTCTACTACAGGGAAAAGCGGGCACAAGAGAAAAGGCTCATATGAGAGAAGCGGAACCCCCTTGTAGTTTCCTATCCTACCATTGTCAACCCTGACCTCAACAAGGTCCAGCTGGTAAAAACGAAACAAGAGGAAAACTGTCAGCAACGTTTTGTGAAGAAATATAATGCTGGATTTCTGTAGTAGATCCTGCCCACAGCCTAAAGCCAAAGGAAAAGCAAGAAGGTGGCATCTGAAGAAAAGGATGAAGGCGGTTTGTGTTCTTTAAAGGAGATAAAATGAGACAAAAGCAGGAAATGCTGTCCTTCCCTTATCCTGAGAACTTCTCAATGAAAGGTCAAGTATAGCCATCAATCAAGATAAGGAAGAGGCAACCAAAGAGATGACCTTCTTTGAGGGGAAACAAGTATGTATTAGATAGCACTTTTACACTGATGCAGTTTTTGCCTATGTGAGAGAAAAGAGAACACCGTTTCATGCCAATGTTAATTTTTTAAAAAATGAAAATTAAGCACTTGAGATGAAACAAAGTCAGACATGCCTATTGAGTCAAAGACTAGCAGCCAAGGAAACCTTCCTTCCAAAATTTGTGAGGAGTGCAATGGAATTCTACTCCTCATCACTACAACAGCTGAGCACCCAGCTTAGGAGACACATCTCCTGGGGACAGCCACCCTCAGTAGTTTGTCACTAATAAGCTGCAGAACTTATTACATGCACTTTAAACCAGAAATTTAAAGTCCGTTGCTTTTCTGAAAGAGAATAATTCATTTTCAGTTATGCTTGACCTCACACTTATTAATTTACAGTATTCCCCTGTGAGTTACACTTATGATGTCACTTTCAGGGATGAAAAATCAGATTGTGTGGAATTGCATCTAAAGTAGATAATCAAATATCCCTCAAAATCAAATATAAGTAAAAATACTTCTCAAAGACAAGCCTTATACGGATAATCCTTAGCTGGCTTTCTCAGCTGACAACAGTTCCTTTCTATTTTTGGGCTAGTTTTAAAACATGCAATTGTTTCAATACCACTCTTCGGGAAAGAATAACAAGTTTACCAGCTCTCGAGGTAGAAAGGCCTCCTCCTGACGAGCCACTATCAGACAGACAGTTTCCCCTTGTTTTGTGCTCCTCAGCACAGCTACAAGCTCTTCCTGGGTCCTGCCAGTGATGTCCCATCCATTCACCTACCAGACACAAAAGAACAGAGGATGTCACATCTGTGAGCATGATTGTCTTTTAGCATTTTCCCCTCACCTAACACAGGTGTCATTCAGTGACAGAGAGCAAAGAATTAGCAACAGCTCCCACACTGTCTCCCCCTCTGGCCTGGCACAAATCACTTAACCCTTTTTCCCCCTCATTTTCACCATCTCTTAAAGCAGCTCTGTAGTACTTACCCACCTTGCAGGGAGTTTGTGAGGCTTAATTAGTTTGTAAAGCACTTTGAAGATGAAAAGTGCAGAAACAAGACCTAAGTATTAAAACTGTTTCCCTTAAGAGCTTTCTGAGGTTAGCAAGTAGAAATAACCCATTAGATAATGAGACTAAGTCAGAAGATAGTTGAAAATTTTGAACAGACCAATATGAGCAAAATTGCCTTAAAATGAGCACTTAAGCACCTCGATATAAAATGGAGATTTTTGGACATGGTTTTGTTCCTAAACTGATATATTTATCTGCTTTTAGAACCAAGATCTTATCAGGCTCCTCTCATTCAAACATCCCATGGACCTTTGTGAAGAGAAGTTTTTCCAAATCACAGTGTAAAATACTTGCTGACAAACAGCATAGAAACCATGAGACCAACTTTTTTTAAACCAAGGGCAAAACTGTAGTTTCATACATCAACAGTATGTATAAGGAAATAAAAGATTGATGACAAAACTAGCAATCAATATTCAGCAATGCAAATACAATGAATGTTTATTCCTAACCTCCAGGATTCTGTCTCCTGACTGCAAACGACCATCTTTTACTGCTGCACCTTTTGGCAAAATGTTCTTCACAAAAATCGGACCAGGACCATGTATTGAAGAGTCTCTGGTAACCACAGTGAAACCAAGTCCTTCTGGACCTAGAATGTCAGATAAAGAACTCCCAATGTAAATTTCAATAAGCAAATGATGATCATTAAACTAAGTAAACAATGCCAGCAACATATCACACACACTCATTAGGTTAGCTCTTAAAACAAGAAAGCAAACAAAAAGCTGTAAACATGAGCCAATTTTCCGCATGATCTAGAGAAGAAGTTTATTAATGTCAAAACACATACCCAAATCCTCCCGCAACAGCTAAAGATTTGCTTTTGGTAAGCACACAGCAATATAAAACAAGCAAGAACCCTCTTTTTAAAGTGTTTACCTTTACCTTTTCTCTAGGTTGTTTTAATATTAGGCTTCACATTAATGTCAATAGCCTTTCATAGAATCAGAGCAATCAAAACTGGTTTTTTATGAGCATAACTATAATTTAACAGGTTTTAGTGAAACTTGGTAAATGGAGAAAATTTCACATGATTTGAATGCAAAAACTGCTGACAATGCGCTGTTAAGAAAGGACAAAGTGCTATTTCAAAGCTTCCATCAGTGAAGTTGTTTGCTGCTTGGAAATAAACAACCTCAAGTGTTAACATATAAATGTTATAACAAATAATTGGGAGTAAAGTCAGTATTAGCAGGCACTGCTTATAAGCCAACAAAATCCCCAGGAATAGCAGAGTCCATAAAAAAATAATTTTATATTGAGCGGTATTACTACTCATGTGATAGTTTTCAAAGATATCATCACATCAGTACCACATTGCCATAATTTCTAAAATTATAAATTAATGTTTCAAAATCAAAAGCGTTAGATCTAAAATGGGAACAATTCTGAAGTAGGTTTTGCTAACACAAAGCTGAAGAGTTCAGAAATAAAAACCAGTGATTTAAGTTAAGAAATAACAAAAATTAAGAAATGAGAGCTTGATTACATTCATTATGTGTTACAAGAATAAAGTTACAGACAGTTTTTAAAAGGGACACTTCTAGGATCAAATTTAACTCTCAGCCAAATCAGAGACAAAAATTAAGCATAAAATATAAATGCTAATTCGGATCTGCTCAAGCACATTTTACTACATGTGCATAAACCTGTTACTCCATGCAAAGACAGACAGCTGCATGGAGCAGCAGATAGACACACAAAATTCAGCCTCCTGACAGCTGAATTAACATGATAGAAAAAAACAAGGCTTGCAGAAAATAAAACAAGGGAAAGACAGGTAAATTTGTGGTCAGCTTCTTGGAAAGCATGAAAGAGCAGAGTATATTTTTAAACATATCTTTAGAAGAATGTCACAACAGTGCTGTGGTCAATTAGCAGATATGAATAAAATCAGACACCACCAGCAACAGTTCAATTCTGTATTTTTATTTTGTACTTGTGACAAGGCTGAAGCATCTCTTAATATTGCATGTTGCTCATGGAATGGCTTCCACACAATCAGGAACAGAGATGTCATAAAAATCAGTAAATCTGAATAACACGTATCCAAAATTTATGAGAAACCTGACTGTTGAGAATATTGCTGGTAACATTCCTTTACATTCTGGATGTTTTGGATCTTCTAAACAGCAAATAATTTGCTTGTACTTTTAATGTCACTTGCTAAATTAGAAGCTAAGGTATCACTATAGAGAACATGATGCAGTATGAATCATAATCTCCAAAGACTTACCTTTTTTCAGGTCTATCTTTATTTTCTTTGCATTTCTTTTATTGCCAAAGCCCATAAGGGGAAACAGTGAGAGAGAAGATGACTTTCTACCCAGACGTGGGAGGTTGGGGCTCTTAGCACGTTGCAGTGTTGCCTGTGCACCTGTCTCCAAGCCGCTTGCTCCAGAATGATTAATTGTTTTCAGAGCAGGTTTTGGATGAACAGGAGGTGGAATCTTTGTTTTTGGAACTCCATTATCATTATCCAGAAAACAAATAGAAGCCATAGCAGACTTCTCATACTGTTCTCGATTATATGGAGGAAGAACTTCGAAGGTGACACTTTGAAATTTCATTGCCTGAAGGAAGATGTCCCGAGCCCTTTTAAAAGAAAGGTATGAAATTTCACATAACAAACCGGAAAATTTGGGCAAAGTTTGAAGTTGTTTATAGAGAAAGAACCAAAAATTTACCTTGCCTTCACTTTTCTAAAAAGTATGCATGAAATAAGATTTCTAAACCTACAGCACTTCCCTACATTTCAAGTAGGAGCAGCATACCTGTCAGAATTCCTAAGCTGCTACAAAAACATACCAGCCAGAACAAACTAATGAACACAAATCTTCATGCAAGGCATCAGGTAAGGAAGTTCTGATGGCAAAAGCTCATCAAAAGACTGCTGAAGATACAGCTTACTACTTATTTTAAAGGACTTAAGTTACATATTTTCTTGCTGGCATACAGGCACACTGAGCACTTATGATCAATTGTTCTTTTGAATACACCTGCTCCAAGCTCAACTCTGCATTTTTTCAGAGTCCAGTCTAACTGCCTCTCAGATTCCTTCACAATTCCTAATACAACTGCTGGCTTATTCTACAGCAATTAAAAAATATGATGGTATGGGATATACAGACATCAGAAAATAAACAAGGTGACCAAAAAGGTGTAACTATTTGTGCATTTCTACATAACTAGAAAAATAAATAGAAAGATACTACATCTTTCAAGCACTAACCTCTTGCAAAGGGGATATGTGAGCTTCACATAATCAATATCTTTACAGATGTGCTAACTGCAACACAGAAACCGTGTTAGAGCATTTAATAAAACTACTCGCCTTGACAGTGATAAGACAAGGGGGAACTTAAAGAGAGAGATTTACATTAGATGTTATGAAGAAATTATTTACTTTGAGGGTGGTGAGGCACTGGAACAGGTTTCCCAAATAAGCTATGGCTTCTGCATCCCCCAAAGAGTTCAAAGCCAGGTTAGGCGGTGCTCTGACCAACCTGATCTGTGGCATCCCTGCCCATGGTAGAGGGTTACAACTACATGCTCTTTAAGATCCCTTCCAACTCAAGCCATTCTATGATCCTAACATGGTAGCAATACAGTGTTCAGGTTCCCATGCACTGTAAGGCAATTAAGACAAGATCACCAAATGAACAGTTATAAAGCCTTCCCTGGATTTTGAATAACCCACTGATTCAGTAAATCAGTCCATGTTATGAACCTTGGATTCTGAAGGAACAAAGGAGGCTTCTTTCTTTCTACACTTTCCTCTCATACCTTCTATTAAAGTAGACTGATGTTCTTCCATACTGTAGAAGAAAACTCAAGTACAAACAGAAGTAGCTGAAACACATTTTGAGGATGAAAAATCAAGAACTTCTGCTTAGCAGTAATAGGTCAAGAGAGGAAGGAATGGCTACATTAATTTTAAATAAGTCATGTGGTCCTTCTAAGAACATTTTACTTTTCTCCTACATTTCCATAGTGTGTTGTCAGTCGGAGTCAGCATTTCACTCAAGTCTTGGCTCTGGATTTACACCCAATTATGTAACAGGAGTCAATGCTCAAAGTACTTCTGAAAAAAACATTTCTTTACATTCATACAGAAAGGAATCCACTGCAAATGTTAACATCTTGAAAAGACACCTACTATTTTCCCAGATCAACAGAGCCATACAGTACCTCCACCTTGCAGCTGTAGGTAGTGGAAAAGAGGGGCTGTTACAGGAGGGTTTTCTGTAGCATGAAGACACTGAAGTCAGGGGCCAGCCCCAATAGATACTGCTGTGGGAATGAACCATCTTGGCCACGCTGAGTGAATGAGCATCAAGAGTCAGAATAATTATAGCAACTGACAGGAGACATTGCCAGAGAGAAACCTCAAACTTAGAAAAGAGAGGTAGAGAGGAGAGTGATGTAGGAAGGTATTCTTTCAGCATTACCCTCAAGGGTTAGGTTTCAGAACCGTAACAGGCTGTCCCTCAGTGTGTTCGCAGAGGTTATAGGTTATCTGTTCACCTATAGCCTCTGAAGGTTTTCAAGGACAGACCTTACCCTGATCATAGAAACCACGGCATGCTTCCAGCCTAAGGATGTAAAGTCTTAATTGGGTTTCTTTCACACCCCATCTTCATCCTTGTAAGTAGCCACTCCATCATATGTTACAAGGTAATTAAATAACTCAATTTCAAAAGACTAATATTTAAAATATATGCAAAAGAAAATATAAGATCTCCTTCAAACAAAAAATAGTGGAAATAACTCAATGTATCCTATGGGAAAGCCTAAATGCAGTCTCCAGGGGCAAAATAACTGGCTGCACTTCAAAGAGAAAATATAATGAATGGAGAAATTTGCATTTATTGAGACCCCAAATGCATACTTAAAAGAAATAAGGGAGTCAGTTAAAAGAGGTGCTAGAAACTCTGCAACACAACAGAATGGAATTGAATAGATTAACAGCAAATGAAAGAGCAGACCAATAGTCCCAATCCATAACTATTATAAACATGGGAATACAGAAAGTAGGCTGCTGCTGTTACAGCTACAGAAGCAACAATCATCAGGAGCAATACTAGAAAGTCTCTGCTGAAAACAGAAAGAGAGCATGTAACAGTCTCTGTTAAGTGTTAAAACAGCTTTCACAAGGGTTATGAAGAAATGTCAATTTGATATTAGCCATGAGATTTTCCTCTCAAAGGAGAATCTGATTACTATTTCTGGGTCAATAGTCATTAGGACAACACTTTGGCACATCTTTTACAATTACTGCATTTCTGTAACTTGGACTTCTATCAGAGTAGCACAGTTATGTCATGCCAGATGAAAACTAAAAGGCATATTCACTGCTAGTAGTTTCAACCTGTAAAGCAGCTTTCTTTAGCTTTTCTCCAGAGCCAGGGAAGAGAGATGATACAGAAGGCTATTCTGGAAGACAATTCAGCAGAACTATATAAGAGGACTTGGAAATAGGCTAGAGCTCATGCAAAATGCTCCCCCCAGTCCCCAGACTGATGTTGAGTCCTCACTACTCACAGTTTTTCTCCTCAGGTCCAATGTCACTGGAACCATACTGCTTGGTTTTGTAACATAAAAGGACGTGACCAATTAAATTAGGCTCTGCCCTGAATCACCTTTAAGTCTGGTCTCTCTAAGCCAACTGTCATTGTAAATATCTCAACTCCCAAAACTTTACAGAAGCATGGTGAAAGCAAAGTGCCCTGCATTTCTCCTTTGAAAGAAAGCCTGACAGAGAACTGGAAATTTTACTGCAATATTTCTAACCGCTCCAAAGTCTAGTAACCTTACAGAAAAAAATGCAGAGTCCTCCACTCCACAAAGATCTCATGGGCTGGAAGCCTCTGGAGATCTAGCTACATTTAGAAGAAAACACAAAGGAGACAACAAATTTGTAAAGAAAAGATCACATATGATTTTGAAAAGAGAGGTTTTGATCCAGGAAGAATCTCAGTTGAGAAATTCCATTAAACTGTACAGGTGAGGCAACAAATGTTTTGATATGATACCACAACTATGTTCTGGAAAAGCTGATGTAGGAATTTCCATGGGTGGAAAAGAATGGCATGTACTACATTACAGTAGAATGCCTTTACCAGCAAACATCCAGAAAGTTGTAACTCAAAAACTATCAGGAGCCAAAAAGGAGAGTCTTGGAAACAAGAACACCTACACTACAGAACCAAGATGCTTTCATGAAAACCTATTTTATAAATATTTATCCCTAACTGTGAAATTACATATTTGATTTTAGTCAAGAAATCTTGAACATTTGGCTTACTGTTTAGAAAGTTAAGCCTCGACTCCCTTGACACCTCAATAGGCTTTTGTTATATTATAAACAATCACTCAGCTGTCTAAACATATGGATTAAAAGTAAAAACAAATTACTATTTAATTACTACAGCAAATATCTACGAAATTTGAGAGGTTATTCTTTTGTGCAACAATGTGACATTAATTCACAGCTGAACAAAGCAACCTGTTACTTAAAAATATTTGGGATAGATAATGTCAACAAATTTTAATAAAAGTCATAAGAAGTGAGACTTGCCACTTAGCTCAACTAACCATAGCTTGACAGTAATAGTATTTTTTAAAAAACTAAATGCTCAAAAAGCTGCAAGCACAAAAAACCACCTCACTTCATTTGCAAAAGAACATTAGAACCCATGCTGTGATGTTGACTCATTCTGAAGGTCTTATGAGAGAAAGATTACAAGGAAAATATGGTAAAATAACAGAAGAACTAGAAAGTGAAGAAAACCACCAAAATCTAATGCTATTTAAATTAAGTAAGCACAACAGGTTCATTAAACCTACAAGATTTGTCTCCTCAAACTGCACCTTATTCAGAGCTTTCAGAAAGGAAATGACGATGTTTCTGCCAGGTATCAATTTTATAGGCATTTTATCTAAAATAAGTATTAATCCCTTTAAGAATCACTTAAACACAGCACTGTATAAAATTCTGGCTTGTTAAATGTATCAGTAAACCAGCACTTACTGTGCAAAGGTTTTATCTGTAAGGTCCACATGGTTAATCTTCACAATGCATTCATTTTCACGGAAAAGACCATCGCGCCTACATCTGCTATTTTCTTCAATCTCACAGATGAAGAGTCCCAGCATTCTAAAAGGCAAAACAAAGGTGATAACTACTGTTATTGTGCTAGTATGAATTTATAGCAAGTAAAACCAGATAGTACTCTCTACTGTGCATGAGATGATAGAGTAGACTGTTATGAAGTGCTTAACCTAGAGAAAGGGTTTCCAGCTCACTTGTTATCTAAAAAGTAAGGGATTGCAAGAAACACCATGAGAATTTGCTGCACACTAATGCTGTACTACTTGCTAGTGCTTTGGAAGTATTAAGTCATGTAGATCATACTTGGAGAAACAGAGGAAAATGCCTAGATCTCCCTTCCACTTAACAATGTCAATGAAGCTTATGCAGTATTTTTCTGTCACTATGTCTACACTGCTAAAAAAAAAAAAGCACAGATTAAAGTAATTTTCTACACTGACTATAATAAACTAAACAGGTGTTAGTGTAACATGTTTGTTTCTACTTCTGAAAAATCTCTGAAATTTTCAGTTGCCAAAGCCCCTTGCTTTGTACAAGACAGCAATACTACTTATTCATGAGGCAGGACAGCAGCAGAAAATCAAAACCCAAGCTATTTGTGAACAGGTCAAGTGCAAGTGAAAACTGAGGTGCAGCACAGAATAATGCAATAAGTGAACAAGTGTGGGTGGTGCAAAATTCCAGTGTCGCTACCTCTGCTGGGGGCACTAAACTAATCTTGACCTACCTGGATCATCTCTGTATTGCAAACTATAATTCAACATAGAGACATCCAATGATACCAGTATAATGCACCCCAAAAACCCAACAACTGCGTGTTTGTGAACAACTTTTATAATCAATCTTTTCCCACTAAATTTCCATACCACTTGAAGGCAGATGACCTTTAGAGACCATTTTCTATTGGTTATACACCATAAAATATTAATGTGCAATTTTCAATGTGCCATCGCTCCAATCACAAAAGAGAAGTCTTGTATTTTTTCTCAGATTCATGACTGCCCCTCACACATAAGTCCATTCAACAGATTTGCAGCACACCATTAACTATTTCAAATGACACTCTATTCACTGTGCATCTGATTTCAGATTTACTGTACAATACAATTTTAAAACTTCTGTCCTATCAATTACTAAATGAAAACTTGGTTCCTACTGAATATTACTTCTTCAAAACATCTAAGAGAAAGAAATGATTTAATTGCATAAAGATTCTCTTGCAATCAATTGAATCCTTTAATGAAGAATAACAAGTGGCAGTGGTGGTGAGGGGCCAACAGCCCTTTTGATGACATCCAACTAGTGGCAAACAAAAACCTAAACCCTAAGAACTAATGAAATATAATCATGTTAAGATGCAAACCAGCAAAAGTAGTGAAATAAAAGAAATTACAAATTAAGCAGGTTGCTTACTAATCCTGTGTGCTTAGATGCTGAATCCATATAATGTGACAGGATTGCCCAGTTGTCTGAAACTTTTGTGTGCTGTACTGAGTGGCCTGACTTACATATGCTGTGGCAGTTTAAATTCATTCCTCCATTACGTTTTTTACACAGTCCCATTTTTAGCATTATTTTAATGCCCTATTAAATTTTAATTTCCTTTTTTTAATAATATCTAAGTGTGAGAAAAGGGGAGGAGACATTATTTCCATTTCTTTTGTAGTTCCTCTACATATTACTATTTTGCAAATTAATATGATGTTTTAATGAGCTTTAGAAAAACTTTGGTCTGCAGCAGCAGTAAGCTAAAAGCCAACATTACCTTATTAGAAGGTAACTTTACAATTGAAATACCAAACCAAGTTCATCATGGCCAGCATGTCCCCATAAATGCTATCTAGTCATTAACAGAAATTAAAAACTGCTCTTCTGTACTTTCTCATGTTATGATGAGTCACAATTTATCAGTAGTCTCAGCCTTGATTAAATAAAAGACACAAGCATTTTAGTCACTCCAGTCCTTTAACAAAGGTATCAGTATAGTTCTGCCAAGGGTCATTAAAATATCAAGACAACCATCTAAACAACAAGTCAAAGACTCCTCTGTTCCACAGGATCCCAAAAAGCATTTGCAAATATGGACATATTAACATGCATGCAATGTAGACCTAGGAACGCCACTTCTTCTGCACAGAGGTCTTTAAAAGCTGCACTCAACATGGTGATACTTCAGGACAGAACTGTATTTCAGTCACATTAATTACTGATTTTAATAGCCTGCAATTTCATCACTTTTTTTTACTGAATGATCTTGAAATACAGTGTACACACTACAACCTTTACGGCGTGCCTATAACAAAGAATGACGGTCTGCATTTCACAATGGGGTAACAAACACAAGTGCCTTTCTCAAGACAAACAGGGAGCCTGCATAGCCAAGGACACAACTCAGACCTCCTACAGTTCCCATCAAAGACCAACTTTCTTCTTGAGACAGTGATGTCATTTTTATAGGCAGCAGGTGGACATCTATTTTCCCTTTTGGTAAATAAAACATTCTGAATTAATTTGGGTCCACTTATAAACTCACATCTTGCCAAGGAAACATTTACACACGTAGACCTTTACAAGGTAATTCAATCCTACACATTCCCTCTCCTACATGAAAGTTGACAAGTAAAGAAACATTTAAGAATCGGACAATTTTTCCTTTTGCAATAATTGTCTTTGTGTTACACGCAGCCATTTTACTATACAGTAGTGTCATTTGTGGTTCTGGCAATTTCCTGTCTCTTATTCATGGCTGCCAGTGTCAAATTAACTCTCTGGCCAAGTCTCTGTATGTCAAATTTCAGCCTATAATTTTATTTTTTTTTACGCATCCGAGTTACATAGCTTAGAAAACAGTTATAATGAAAATGCTGACACAGTCTTAACTACAGCACATCAATATGAGCACACTGCTATAATAGGCTTTTGTGATCTCAATGGACTACGTTAAATCATTTATAATTAAAGTAATTGTATTGTGACAAAGAAAAGTTCATGGTATAGTGCACATTTTATAAATGCTATACAACCACATTGGAATGATGGCTTGAAAAATATGAAGCATGAACAGGCAAGTCATTTCTTTGACTTTTCTTGTCTGATATGTCACTGAGGAAGGGCCTATGCAGAGACATTGGGAAAAATGAAAACAAACAAATAATAACAAACCCAAACAAACAAAAAAGAGCACAACCAAAACCAACCCTATACCACAAAAACCTACTGAGTCTACTTTACCATTCAGAGAATAAACCCAGAGACAAATAAAAGGCAATATGTGAACAAAGAGGTTGGTACTGACTGAAATGGTTGGACGCAGCACATAGTACTATGGCCTAGTGGCCAAGGTGGAGATGAGGTCAGAATCAGTTATACTGGAGGTGTTTTTCAAGCTAAATGATTTTGTGGTTCTCTTATATGGAATTTAGACTAGTAAATATTATGGTAACAAGACAGTGTCATAGACCCATTTTCTTTTAAGTATTTCTTTTCCTTATGGTTAAATAGTAGGTATTTAAGGCAAGCACAACTGAAATCCTTTCATTAATATACTTCTTGAGCAATGCAGAAAATATCTTACCTTCCACTCAAAGATGAATAAAAGGGCATTACATGTATTCCCAAGGGTCCACTTTCCCCAACAATCTCCACTGTTTTTGTCATTTCACTAAAAAAGAGCAGAGGGAAACACATCTCATATGCTTATTAACAGAAGTCTCTATGCTAAAAACAAATTCTTGACTGATCAGATAGTAGACAGTGTAGAACAGACATTTGACACAGAGCTCACTAATATATAAAAATACAATGAAAAGTAAAACAGCCATGCAATTCTTTAAGTTTTTTTTTTTAGATTAGCATTTATGTATTTTAAAAGGGAAAGAAATCAAGTACTAGACATTTTCATAAGTTAACCCTCATGTAAATTAGCTAGAATGCTAAAGAATAAGCTTTTAAGTGAGAAGAGACTTTATCATAAGAAGAAAGTGGGGGAAGGCTATTCTAACATGTTCTTAATTTAAGCTCCACAAGAGCTGCTTCAGTCAATTTTCCCATGTGGCCACATTATAAACATGAAGAGCACACATTAAGCACATCAAGCCAATAACTAAATTAGTCAAATCATATTTAAATATCTTGATTTCTGCCCTCAGTTGCACACATCATCCCTGACAAACAAAGAATAAAACAAATTGTAATCAAAAGTGCAACTTGGCTCATTTTATCAAGAAGCTTCCTTCCTCAAACACCAGTATCAAAAACAAGTACATTATCTCTGACAGATTTGTGCTGTTTCATGGCTGTGTGCTGTTTCATTTCCTGTTGAATATTTTAAACTACCAGCCTTACAGTGACCTTAACTCTATTCTGGGTGATCATAATTTGAAGAGGAAGGTGCTTGAATTGGCTAGAACATTAAAAAATAAATACATTAGTAACATCTGTATTTTAACTGATCACCTTCCTTCTTTCTCTACTAGTCTACATCTCCTGGAACAGTCTCTCCCCTCAAGCTGTACTGAAGATCATCAACACTCAGGACTGATGGCCAGTGGACAACTATTGGATATTTCCCATTCACATCAGAACACCCTAAAGCATTCAAGCAACAAGCGCAATGTGCACATGCCAATCCTACAGTGGTTACAGAACTGGTGAAACTGAACCAACTGGCCACTTTATATATTGCCATGAGTTAAAGGCACAGTCTAACTGATGCAAGTGCAGGCTGCTCTGGCATCAGCTGATTTTGCTGACCCATGGTCTTATGATTGATTGATTTTATGCAAGAATCAGCAAAAATGCACCAGTATAAGGCAGGAATCTGCGACCACCCTTGAAGTGGCAACACAGCTACACTAGATTAGATACAACATAAAAACAGGCGGCACAGCTAAGCCCTTCCACAAGGAGCACAGTTACTTAGAGTAAGTCTGACATTACTTCCTAATAACACAGGAGTATCTTGTTGTAGTTGTTGTTACCAAGGCTTATCCAGTTGCACAATGATTAATGAGAAACAACCTGCCATAGATACAATAATTTTTAGCTTGGTCAGCTCAATATGGAATAAGACTGGAAAAGAAGCTCACATCATTTTCTTTTGGTTTTTGGAGTTGAGGGATGGGGTATTTTGGTGAGGGTTTGAGGGTTTTTCGTAAACTATTCTTCCAAAACAGGCTGACACTGGGATGAACTTATATTCCATAAAACTAAAACTGACACACCCTGAAAAACAAACCACCACTGATCCCAAAGTAACAGATTTACATGTTACTGTATTTATAACACAGACACGATCAACAGGCATTTGCTGATTTATTCTTTCCTGTATTCCCTCTTCTTTAATCAAATGGGGAAATCCTGACAAAATCTTCTTGCATGTTTTTTCACATAATTTTTTCCTAGTGAAACTGGTCAGAAAAGCTAATTAGGGTGGTTACCAAAAAAACCTCAACAATGCATGCATAGGAAATGAACTACTCTTTCAGTTCCATCTTCTACTTCCTCCAATTCTCTTAATACACAAAGAAAGATAATTACAGTCCACCTCTTATTGTCTTTTGAACTTCTACAGAATCAAAACGTATAAGCAAATAAAGTAGCCAAAACCTATAGATCCAAAAAATAATCAGAATTAGTGAATAGGCTTTAATTTGTACAGGGGAAAAATGAAATAAGTTACAGTTGTCCTGAGATAACCCTGAGTGTTGCTTAAATACTCCAGGGAAGAGTTGTCTTCCTAAGCAACTGTAAAATTTTTTGAGGGCTATCATGATAGACAGGTTAGCTGTCATATTCAATCAATGCACTTAGAGTTATAAGTAGGCTCAAAGCCAAAGCAAACATAGAAGCTCAAATTTTAAATCTAACATGAAATCTACACACTAAGAAAAATAGGTTTCTTTGTGAAAACAAAGACCCCACATGTACACTGTGTATTACTTTTTAAAATAGTGGCACATCTTAACACTTAAGGATGTACTAAAGTACTAAATATCCAGAATAAGAGCATATTCAGTACATATATATTTAAAAAGGTGCTTTAGAATTATAATTTTAATAAAAAATATGAGTCAGAATGACTTCTGCTTCTCAAACAAATATGATTCTTAGTTACATCTGAGAAGAAAACTGCCCTCCACACCAACTTTCTTGGATCTTTGAGGACATACTACTTTTATATCATACCTGTGAAAGTATGACAGATAAAGAAAAAATAAAAGACAGGACATCTGGGATTTGGCTTGTGTTGTATTTGTTTAGGAACCTCAAAGATTAGTGATTTGGGCAAATTTGGCATCATTCACTTATTCTGTCCCTCTTTGGGCAGGTTTAATCTGTCTACTAGAACAGCTGAACTCAACAGTGTACTATTCCACACTGGCTTCCAGTTTATACTATACAGAAGCAAGTGTTCAGGAATAGGACACAGCTGGAGGAGATCCCAAAAAGGATGAGCTTTAAGAGCACTAATTCCTAAACTCCACAGGCACATGGGACACAAAGGTGCTGGGACTCTTCAGTTTGACAGAGCCAAGTAAACAAAAAAATGAAAGCAGGGTGTGGGAGAACACAGAATTGCTTTCCACCGCTGGTTGATAGCTGTGATATTGACAACAGAGAGAGTAATTTAGAGAGATTTTCTGCAATATTCAACACATTAGAAAAACAAATGAATTCCTTAAATAGGAAAAAATAAATCCCAAAAGTTAGTACCCTACTAGTGACCTCCTATTTTAAATCTCCCCTACACATTTACATGCACTTTGCAGTAGAAGAAAAAGCAGGTCTGGCTATCAAGTCAGTATAAAAGACCTGAAGTCCCATTGCTAGCTGGGGTTGAGAGACTGGGAATATTAGTGAGTGATGCACAGAGGGTGCCTCAGTGTGCTACACTGCTAGTAATTCCTGCATGCTCTTCAAGTAGACTGAGCTCCTACCTCTGCAAATACTGTCCTTGCTGAGTTTGGAACCGAATCTCTATGTAATACATACAGACATATTCTTACTAGAGTCAAGATAAGTGAAGTTTTAAAAAGCATTTATCTTGGTGAAATTTATCAAAACTGCAGGGTTCGCCCCAACTAGAAATGTAGCACTCAGGCTTCTTCAAATGTGTGCTGGCATGTCCCTTCCCCTCACTGCACTAAAGGTGCCTCTGAGGTCTCACTGAAGAGAGAACACCTGCCTAGCATGACCCAATTGCAGCATCCCAAGCTACATTCAACACTGTACTATCGATTTGTAACCTGAAAAAGCTGTCATCATTTACTATTTAAATTCTTCATTGCTTGATGTTATTGATTTCTGACAGATTCTTTACTGTCTATCACATTTGTCAGGAAGGCTTGCCATGCATACTATTTAAAATGTTGATGAGTACAATTTAGCAAAGAGAGGGAGAGAAGACATATATGTGTGCAGTGAGTATGCACAGCACTTGTAACACAGAAAGCAAAATTTAAATGAAGTGCTGTGCATTCAGCAGTGCATATTCAGCTGTGAATCAGCCTGATCCTCAGATTGGCAGTGTCTTCACTGTCGAATACTACAGCTCCCTCTCCCGAAATCTGTATTGAGAATTAACAGTTTGTCAGTCTTACAATGGGAAAAGATCTGTTAGCTAAAAGCTTCTATGTAAACTATCCAACAACACTGAAGAACTGATCCCAGCCGCCGAGTACACAGATGCCTAAAAGGGAACTCTCTCCAGAAATGAACATTTTGGAATTTTGCAGCAGGACCTGGATCATTAAGGTGCTGTGACCTTCCCCCATTACAAATACTTGGAGAATCTTCATAGGATTTCTCTTGGAGAATGCAGTAGACACAGCCTAAAGCAGATAAATAGTTTTGCAACACACTGAAGACAGTACCTTGGAAAAACTGCTTGCTGCACAGGTTACTGGGCAAAACTTCCCATCATGTGTACATCACAAGAATCTACTGCCTAAGTAAACACAGATCAAGTATTTATCATTCCAATGTTAGATTCTTTTGCAAGTTTTTCTCATGTGAGAAAAGAAAATGTACAGATTAGTAAGATGTTGTATCTGAAAAAAAATCCAGTGCAGGATGTCAGGGTTTCTCTTGTAAACAGAACAGCACAGCTAATATTCTGAATATGCTTTGTGGTGTTTTTATTGACCATGGCCAGCTAACTAAAAGTCAAATTAAATGTCACTCAGATGTGGGGAGCTCACAGATGAAGTTATTAAGTTGCATCTCCTTGTTTGTTCTTCACTTGTGCCTCTAGCCCCACCAGTCAATGGTGCCATTCCAGTGGAGGAGAGTGTCTGTTAACAAAGTGTGCTGACATTTGGTAGACAGCACAGGCCTACAGGTGATGTCAGGCTCCTCAAGGGGATTTGAAAGATGAAGCATGCACAGAATTATCCAAATAAAGAGGGTGATGACTCTGCCAATGTACATTTTTTCCCGACTAAAACAGTGCAGTTACTGCTGGTAATAAAGTATTTGTATCCATTCTTCCAGAGAGGCTTCCAGAGTAGTCAGCTCAACTAAAGCTGTCAGTTAGCACACTTCTCACCCTACTCCTACCCCTTTTCCACATTTTTCCTTCTCTTTCTTAAACTAAGTGATCAAAGCTCTGATGAAAATGTCTTGAAAGCCCTGAAGAAGAAACTGGATGTTTAGTAGCATGAACATACTCAAATGATGAAAATCTGAACAATATCTAAAGAGGGATGGAGAGAAAACCTGCAAGGAGAGAAAAAAGCAACTGAATGTACAGTCAAGGATGAGTTTACCAGGCACAGTTAAGGAAACTGCTCACTCTTTTAGAAGAGACAGGCACACTTCAGCTGCTTCATTCTACACAAAACTAGACAAACCAAATATTCATAAAGTTCAAATATTTACTATGAAATAATGTCAGAATCTTCCAGTTCCACGTTTGAAGAAGAAACAAATCACCTTCTCCTAACTAAAATGCATTAATCTAGAGGTTTTTTTGTACTAAAATTAGTTAGCTCTCATGAGATTGACTGTCTGAAGGTTCAGAGAGAAACCAGACAGCCTGCAGACACCAGGGTTTTGTGACTTTCTTTCTTTAAATCAAGTTGTTCCAGTTCTCTGTTGTTACACTAATGAAAGACACAGTAGGTTAAAAAAAGTAAAATACAGAGAAGGAAAAAATGCTGCAGCTACGCTTTAATTATATATCTACAGTGCTTAAACCAAGGAACTGACCCTGACCTCTGCTAAACCGAAGTGGGAAGACAGCAAAGCAGAACATAATGAAAACACGTAATGAATTATCTATGCATAAATTACCCTTTGAGTTCCAACTAATCCACTGCTATTAAGCTAAACATCCATTTCCAAGCACATTTGTGTTTATTGTTCCTTAACACAGCCATTTTTACTAAGAAAGGCAAGGTTTTCAAAACTAGTATTTCAATGTACAGAGTGCTACAATATTCAATGTTAAAGGTTATGACAAGTATCTACCTGACCATCTTACTTTAAAAGTATTTCAGACCTAGTACAGAACATGACAGGAAGCAAGGAGAAATATGAAATTTTATACACGGATGGCATTAACTTGGCTTTCTTTACCCTGAACATCATCTTTACTACCAAATAAACAAAACAAAAGCAAGCCACCTTCAGCGGCTTGTCGTTACTTATTCCATTAAAAAACCTTCCAATGACCCAATGTTTCAACGTTCTCTTATAGCAAACTTCAACTCTCAAGATGTCAAATTAAAATTTTAGACTCCCAAGGGATACAATCCCGAAAAGTTTCACAGTACTTTTACAGTGAAATGTTTTAAGATAAACTTCCCATTAGCCTCTGAATAGAGGAGCCAAAAATCCTCCATACTGCCACTCATTTACCCAACGTGCAACTAATTTCACCTACTGACATCAGTGAACTGATTTTCTTCAAATGGAACAGTTTTTCTACTTGAGTGAGAAATATAAAACAATCCAAGTCTGGAGCCCTGAACTTCAACTGACTAGGCTTCACAATCATGAAGTATTAATCATGGTGTTCTTTTTTTCTGCTTCCCTCTGAAATACCTATTATTGGCTATAGTTAGAGAAGGGACTCTGACCTCAGACAAACTGGTGCTCTGATGAGAAGGCTCAGAAAATTTTCTTAGGTGATGAGCTGCTGTTTCCCTTAAGTGCAATAGGCCTTAAAGATTACCAAACTCAGTGACAGGAAGGAATATATTCTAGAGAAAGCAGGGACAATAGTGGTTTTCTTTCTTCTGTAGCATGGAAGAGCTCACAACTGGGCTGAAATATTATCTTTATTAACAACACTTAACATGGCTTATTTAAATGAAGGGTTAAGGTATCATGACTTGGTGGTCCTTTGTGGCCCTAACATCTTTGAAATAACATACCAGAAAGATACCTGAATAAATCAGGATTTTAAGTAACTCTTTCAGAAAGAACAGTGTAAAAGGAGTCAAATTAGATACTAAAATGCTAGTTTTGTTGCTTGTGAAAAGAAAAAGTTTTATTATTTAATATTATTTTATTAATAAAACCTTATTTACTTACATTCATCAAATTAAGACAACAGCAAGATAGACAGATGGTCTCTAGTGACTCATTTTCCTTTATAAACCTATTATTCCTAATGAAAACACTTTTGGAAAAACTTCACTTACAAAAAAGCCAAATAAGAATCAAAGTCATTGTGTTAAAATGGAAATTATTTGAATTTTGCATTTTGCAGTGAATTTCACATTTTGCAGTGAATTTCACAGAAATACCAACTAACTTTGCTTTACAAAATATGTATTCTGATTTCCTCTAATGTTCACTGTTTGCAGAAACTGGAATATATTCCAAAAACTTTGATATAATTCACAATTTTGAGGAAAAAAATCCTCTCAGTACCCATCTCAACACTTGCAGGCAAAGTGTGTTTCAAAATCTCCTCAGGACCCAGGAACCACAAGCAAGCTATATTTTGGCTGAGTTATTTTCCTGGGACTTATAGAAACGCTGCTCTTTTCTCTCTGTTTTGGTTTGGGTTTCATTTGCTTGCTTTGGCCTATGTTTTTCTTAAATGAAGCAATCTCAATCAAGATTAAGATAACTCATTTTACCTCCAAGGCAAAAAAAAGTTACAGCCAATGCAGAAAGGTTCCTGGGAATACTGTGATCTGGTCAGCTTTCCCTCTGCTCCCTATCTGTTCAACACAGGCATCAATCACGTGGGCCCCAATACATATTCTTGATTGCTTTCCCTTCCATACTCCTCCATCAAGACAGTTTGCAGAATTCAGCAAAATTTTTAAGAGATCTACAGAAATCTAGGCTTGTTATTGACTGTTTTGTGAGAGCGTGGCCATTTAAGAAAACTGAATGCCTCCGAAAAGTATCACTGAGGTTTTTCTCATTGTCAACATTCCCAATGGTCACCGGATTCTGAAGATTAAATGCAAATGATTATCACAACCTTCTTCTGAAGAATCTCAAATGCAAGCAATGAATTGTTTAACTCAATAAACAATAATATGCTGTCAGAAAATTCCTAAGAGGACTTAGATGATCTAAACCACCATAGTAAAGGCACAAGGACAATAGTAAATATGAGCATGGTGTGCACAAAGCTTGATTAATCCCCATTACAAATTAAAAGATCAAGAGACAAATGAGTGCATGTATTTGGTGATGCATAACAATTACCTTAGGTAAAACAAGCTGTAGAAGTCTTCAGCAACATTCCATAAAGAGAAAATAAGCATTAGCAACTAAACTAAGTTCTATACCTGCATGATGAACACTAATCAGCTGGCATGTAACTTAGAGGTCTGGCAGGTGCAGAGAAAGCTGGAAGAGCACTCCAGTTCCTTTCCATGATGAGACCATTCTAAAAATATGTACTAGTATCAGCAGGCAAGAGAAGAAATTACAAAATCACATACACACTAGGTGACAAGAGACCTCCAAAAGGGAGGAAAAAACCCAGACAGATTGAGTTGAAAAAACACAACTGTACCAAGACAACATAATCTCTCATAAAATAAATTCAGTGATGATTCAAAGAACAACAAAAACTGAGAAATTAACTCTCTTGTATGGAAAAGACTAATTTTTGACATGCTCTAAAAGGAAAAGTGATCCTTCTACCCAGATGCTGGCATGGCCCAAAAGACCTGCAAGGTCAGAGTCCTTGCTCTTGTGAACTTCCCCACAGGCTTTGGGTACATAACTGAATGCTTCTTTCCCAGACCTCATGTAGGTAAAACAGGAATATTAACACTTGTTTTATCACAGGGGTTTGCAAGGATAAATGCTCTAGGATTAAGGTATGCAGGTATTGTTTATTTCACAGTTTTTATTTGATACTACTTTGACAAACAACTATAAGCTGCAGAATAGCAAATGATTATTTGCTATAATCAAAATCGAAATATACTAATCTTTCACGTTTTAGCTGACACACAGAGGTCTGTCATATTCCACTTCTTAATTTCATTATACAATGTGCTATACATATCACTACAGTTCTGCAACAAACACAACATGCTGGACAGAGGACTGAGTTCCTTCACCTACTCAAAAAGATGACTTCAGCACAACCTGAATTACTAGTGAAAACTAAAATGTAAGCTTGTGGTGAGACAGGAGAAGAGCAGCACAGCAACATTTTGCTCTAAATTTACCAGGCCAGCTCCTTTAATACCACCACTGAGGATCTGACTGACCTACTTTGTGACACTGTAGTGCAGCCTGACTTGTTAATTTTGGTGTAACAAATGCAACTGAAAAAACATTACTTTTTAATTTCATTTCAGCCATTTCAATTTTACTTGTGATTTCAGGAAAAATAAAACACCGTTGCTCTTTATTAAACCTCAAGAACACCTAACTTACCCTCCTCTTGTTTCAGCTATGTAGCTCTTAAGCTGTACTGCATTGTAGATTATATATTTACCCAAGTTGCACTCAAAATTTAGATCGGATAAAAGTTATTTCCCAAACTCTCAATGGGACCACTACCACCTTCAGATATAACAGCAATGGTCATCTCTAATTTGTTAAAAATGAAGAGAAGAAAAGGATGCATTCCATCTGACTACTCTAGTGAAGCAATGCACAGGGAAATATTGCAAATACTGCCTATAGTTTTCACAGTGTATAGACACAGATATAACATCTACTACAGGATATAGCAAAGTAATAGCCTTACCACTCAAAACCAGAGGTGACACTTTAACTGAAGATTATTTCAGGATTACACGGTTCAGCCGAATGGTTATTTCTTGAGATATAATATATGACCTAAGAACATCCTCTGTCTTAAGACATGACATACTTGCAGGACTGAGTAGAAAGCAAAAATGGAGTAGATAATAGTAGTATTTCCCCCTTACCCTTATACTACAAAGAACACAAAATCATTCATATTCATCAACGAGGGCAAAAGACTGTGATGCACAAATACGTGCTTCAATATGGGAATCAAATGCAATTTTAGGATAGGAAAAGGAGGAAGAGGAAGAAATGAGAAGACGCACAATGCAGATTCACAAGTGCAGCTTGAATAAGTCAGTCTTGTCTTGCACACTTGAATCACATCAAACAGAAGATGCTCCTACCTGACAGGGAGCCGAGTCCTCTGAGTCAACAACAGTTCTGTGGGTCCAGTGAGGTTCATTTCCCCATCCTGAAAGGATGCCTGGGAAGCACCCTGCAGAGAGATTTCAAAGCATATTTTGAAACTATGTACATATTTAAGCATATAGAACAACACTCTAATTATGTTTTTGAGTCAGTATTTGGAAGAGAAAGTCAGTCATAAAATAACATCATTGCACTGACAGTGAGGACTGAAAGACCCACTCTGTATGCAGCACATGTGACACAGCATTTGGAGACACAGGAAGGTATCTAAAGTCCTGCTCCTTGTGCCAGAGTTCCACCATCCTTCCACTGGAGAAACTTGTGGTATTATTTTCTTGTCTGCCTACCTAACCTGAATGTCACTGTGCCACCCTGAGCCTTCTCCTTTCTCACAACAGATCACACAGAGCTTGGATAAACCTAATGGCTTTCTTTTGCACTCTTAACCCCTTAACCACTCTTAACTCTTACCAGCATTTATTTGGTAAAGACATTTTCACAGCAACTTCACAGAAAAAGCAATTATGTAACCGTTTGGCCAGACACAAAAAATACAGTGCACACAGGGACCATACAATGCAAAAGCTCTTGAAAACTATTATTTAGCTTTCTTTTTGTGAACCATACAGTCTCAATGTCTGCATTTTTTTCACACTAGGAGAGGGAAAGA